ATTTATAATTAAATTGATAGGACTTCTTTGGAGCCAACGTAGTAATAGTTATGTTGGTTACTTAGATTTTGAAGATGAAGCTCAAGATTTAAAATCATTTGCTATAAATTGTGAAAAAGAATTAAATGCAATGGGAAGCAATACTATTTCACCTGACCATATATCAGAAAAATATGAACATGGTCTGGCAACACAAGTTCACCAAATTGTCTGGCATTCAATAACACATAATTTTTCTTTTCCATTATCATATTATGGAGTTAATACATTGTCAACTCATGATCTGAATACTTTATTATTTGGTCTTGCTGCAAAATTGGAATGCATTGGAATCCATACTTGTGGCTCAGTTTGTGATGGAGCTAGTGAGAATCGAAATCACATAAAAAGTTTTGATTGGTTTGCTTCGACCTGGTCTGTTGGTGATATTGTGGAAGTTGTTATAGAAAAAGGTAACTCTTATTCTGCTAAAATCCTAAATGCTAACATTGATCATACAAAATTTATTGTCCAAAAGCTTGATCAGGAATTTACTGAAGGGATCACTATTGATTGGAAATTTTTAAGACCTGTTATTGGAAGCCAACTCTCAATTAATGAGGATCAAAAAATAGTAAGTGAACATGATATCTGGTCATGGCATAAAACATTGAATCCAATTACAGGAGATCCATGGTTTTTCATTAGCGACCCAACTCATGTTTTCAAGAAGCTTCGTAATAATTTATCAAAGAGTCATACAGGACAAGGTAGCGAAAAAAATGTGCGTGAAATTATGTTTGATGGTAAAGAAGTCAGTTGGAAACATATTAAAGGAGTTTATGATTATACTAGCTGTCATGCAACAGCTAAGGCAACAAGGCTAACCAAATGTCATATCTGGTTAACATCTTGGAGTAAGATGCGTGTTGATTTAGCTGAACAGACTCTTTCAAAGGATGTTGAAAATGCATTAGAAGCTATTGAAGAATTGAAAGATATTTCTGAAGGAACAAGGGTAAGAACCATTTTTTTCTATCTTTGCCAAAATCATTCTATAAATTCTATCCTATTATTATTAACATGTATCTTTACAGAAATTTATTAGAAATTCAAGATATTATAGACATATTTTTCATAGCAAAATTAGTTTCATAAATATGGAAGATCCACGAATTAAAACATTAAAAAATATTCATGATTGGTTTTTGCTAGGTGATAACCAAAAAAAAGGAGCCATGGAATGGATTTCATCTCAATGTCAATTTGATTTGATTTTGTCCATAAATGGCTTTCTTGGGATGTTAGAATACATTCTATCAAGATATAAAATTGCAGCTATTCAACCACGAAGAATTTCACAGGATATGTTAGAAGGATTGTTTGGGACCATTCGTGAACTCAGTGGAGACTCCTCAACACAAACATTGCAAGGGTATGGTCATGCTTTAAATAAATATCAAATAACTGCATTAGAATCATCAGAAGTTAAAAGTTTTAATTATGGAAATGCAAATAATGTTGGTAGTGGAATGCATTTCCTATCAAGAAGGTACAGCATGCTTTTATTTGGTTTTTTCAATGAATTTTCATAATTAATAATGATATTTAAATTGATTTATAACTTAGAGATTATCGAAAACAAATGTCAAATGAAAGCAATCCAGCACTTGTCTCTTTAAATCTCCATTCATCACGCCTAGTAACTTTATCTCTCCTATCTCAAAAAATTTTTGAAACTCTGCTCCAAGATGATCTACTTATGGGAAGAATTGCACCTCTATCAAACTCATTAAATGAATATATCAACAATGAAAACTTAAGTATTCTTAATTCTAATGTAAAACGGTATGAACTTGTTGAATTTCTAATTTATCATAATTCCATTGATGTTTTATTACAAAATTGGCAGAATGAAGTTAGACTGATTGCACAAAGTGCAATTCCAAAAAAAAGAGGAGTCAAATGGATGTTAAGATGGAGCTCCAACTTAGAAAATCGTCTCAACAATTACTTGTGTTCTGGAACTTGGTTTGTGTATTTTCAACAAGAATTTCAATTATCACAATTTTCACTTTCTGTTCAACGAATTGTTGCCTTTTCAATGTTGCAAAAAGTAATTCTAGAGACATTTAAAGGTAATGGCACAAAAAATGTTGAATTTGAAAAAGGAGCAGACCCCAATTTGTTGCCTCAAGTAATTGTAAATTTAGATCCTGCAGAAGCTTCAAAATTTGCATATATTGTTGGATGGGTTCTATTTAAGCTTACAAAAGATGACAAAGTAATGATGTCTCATCCAAAATTTGGAATTATGCGTTCTTTACTTAAGAATCTTTGCTCAGAAAATGTAGAATATGTACATGAAATTCATTCACAAACAACAAATATCATACCTGGACCAGAAATCATGGACTTCATGTATCATTTTGAATCCATAATAATTCAATTATTTGAAAAACATCATGAGCTTGGTCCAAATATTTTACATTACATAAGAATCAGCCTGTTAAATAACTTACATTTGCATGAAAAATTTTCATCATTATTGAAATTTGCAATTCAAGATAATATTAGTTCTGAAAATTTTGAAGGTAAGTTGACTTTGTCAAATGAAGATCTGATTTTTTTATTTGAAAAATTAGTTTCTACCTACATGAAAAGCCAGCAAAAAACATGGAGACAACATAATGGTTACATACCAGAGAAAGGTACAGCAAGCCTTAGGGAAAATCTTAAGGTTATGCGTTCAAATAACCAGAATCTTTCAAATAATGAGAAAGGTAAAATATCTAATCAAATAAAGAAAGCAAACTTACCAACAGATCCAATGCTTGCACTTGTTCAGCTTCAAGTATGGGCACATCTTGAAGATGTAGAAAATCAATTTGCAAAAAAATTTTTAGTTACAGATCTGCTCTGGTTATTATGGGCATTTGGAGTTAAAACATCACAAAAAAGAAAAAATACATTGGTTCCTTTACTTATAAGTCATTTGAAAAGTGAAACACCTTTTAGTGAAGAAGCATTAGCAAAAAAGAATATATTTGCACTTGAGTAGAAATACAGGAAAGTATTTTTTAAAGTTAACCACAAAATATTATTCAAATCAGTAATTATTCTTAAAATTGTAATTGAAGAACAAAAAAAATTTTATTTAAAGATTTTGTTTTTTTCCTATCACTCATTGCTTTCCTTCACAGTAATAATAAGTAATGTCTTAAATAAAAGCTTCATTTCTTAACAAGAATAAACTTTTTCATTTAAAAAGTTAAAAAAAAAATTCTATTGAAAGCGTGTATATATAAATATATATTAAATTAGTAATTAATGTTAAATTTTTTTTATAAAATTCCTAATTTCTTTAAATTAAATGCTTACTAGTGTATAAAACAACTTTCCTTCTTGAAGAAAATAAAATCTTTTCATTTGAAACTGCCAAAAAAAAACTTCATTATAAAAACGTATATAAATATTATATATATTATGTAATTAATAAATAACAATGTCATTCCAAGCCCAATCGAAACAATACTTGAGAAGTGTAAAGTTTTCAACAATAATAACTTAAATTTTTTGCATCGGCTGTTCAAACATTCTTGTGTGTAAAGTTATATATGTAAAGTTTTCTTTTTTACTATGAAACGTAAGACATTTTTAATTTTTGAAGGGGTGACAGTTTTGGAATTGGAAGATCGGCAAATATCTATATGTGTAACTTTGAGTTGTCCCCCCATACCCCTAGCTATTATCAATATATTTAATATATATTATTATGTATTTTTTTATATATATTAATATGTGTTTATAGGGACAAACTGCAATGAGAACAGCTCATAGATCTCTTGTACAATGAACAAAAAGTGCTATGTTTACTATATTTGGGTCTATTGAATAACGTTATTTTCATCATGTACTATATATTGCTATGAATATCGCATTTTTAATTTCCTGATGCTGTATTTCTTCTATTTTTGGAAGAGTTAAAGGATATTTAGATCACGGGATCTATTGAATGGCAACTCTAATTGGTCTGCAAAGAACTGCGCTGCACAAATAGAGAATTAAGCATAGAGAGGAAGAGAAGAATTTATCTACTTTATTATTTCAGGTTCAAATATTTGAATCTTTTGATATTTTTTTTTTTATGAATTGAAGTTTTGTGGGTGGTGGTTGTTTTTTCCCTTTTATTGGCAGTGTTGCTACTAGTGATGATGGTTTGTGTTGTTGTAGTTTGATTAAAAAATTTTAAATAAATATTATAGGAATAGATAATTATTTATATTTTAATAATCAATCACCAAAGAGTTTGAAAAATCACCCAGACTTCAAAAAGCTAAAAAAGAGGAATTTTGTTTAAAACCTTATTATTCTTTCTTGTAACTTTACATAAAAATTTTAAAATAATAACCATAGGAAGAGACAGAATAAAACCATCTAGCTTTGGAATCAGCTAATATACACCTTTATGACAATGATAAAACGTAATTAACTTTTTTTGGATAAATTTCTAGTAAAACTGCTATGAAAAGTTCTGCTGTAGAATTTTCACAACCGATTGGCCAATTGATCTTATAACTTTCTTAACAAAATTTCAGTTGTGTATCTATTAATATTAATTAATGATAATAGATTTAAAATAATAAATATTTTTAACTTGATTCAATATTGTCACAAAAAAATACCTTAATATTATTTCTCAATACATCTGGTCTTATTTGAATAATTAATAGTATATTACAAAGTGTCACATACTGAACTTCTGGCTCACTTGAAAATGATGTCACTAATAAATCATATATGAGGTTTTTTTTTGTAAGATATAAACATATATAAATAATAAATTAAAAAAAATTTTTTTATCCAAGGAGGGATTACACATATTTGTAATGTCATATTCTTTAATCATGTCATTTATTAAATACATGATAACTTTTACTGCAATTAGCACTAAACTAGAATTGATATGTTGTAGTCTTGGTGTAATACGCTCTCGGCCAATATTTCTGCGTCTCCCATTTCTAAAGGAACATATCCATAAATCCTTCATTTCCTACAAACGATTCATCATACAAATGTAATTTTGATACTGTGATTGCAGCAGTTTTTCTTACATATTGATACTGATCTTGTAAAGAATGCCTTAATGGATCAACCAAAGCATCTACCACCTTTTCAACGCTTATACAACCCATTGTTCTTATTGCTAATGCTCTTATTAAAGGATTATGATTTTCGAAAAAACAAATAAAATTTTAGCATATATACATATAAAATATATAATAATTAAATAAAGTCAACAGCCATATCAGATTTTGTTATTGAATAATTAATTAAATAAAAAATAAACCATTTATTGATTTCTAGCAGAGGAATTTTCGTACAATTAATTACATCGGTGACATGTCGGTTCCCATTGTCATATTGGCTACAATCTTTTTTAAATACTGTCTTCTTTTTACACATGTTGTCTATCTTTCTTTTAATTCTTGGATTTTACCTAACACTAAATGCAAAAATATAAATTTAATTAAAATAGTGAAAAAGGATACAGACAAACGAATCTCTCTGAAAATATAAGTATATGTATGTATGCTGCTGTTGTAGTTGTTTGATTGTAATAAAAAATCAAAAATCATAAAATCATAAAAAAAAAATTTTTGTTACATAATTTAATTATTTGTTGCTCCCAGCTGGGGTTGAACCAGCGACCTTCGCGTTATTAGCACGACGCTCTAACCAACTGAGCTATGAGAGCTTGTTTTGAATTTTTGGCAAAAATTTTTTAATTGAAAATTACTTATTTTTCGAAACGATTTTGGATAGTCAAAATAGTTGAAATGATTTTATTGGTCTTGAGGTTTGTGCTTCAAAATGTTACACTAATTTTATTATTATTATTATAATAATAAATATTGTTAATATTATTGGGAGAGCGTGTTTTAATGGGTGATGGCAATTATTTTTGTATTTGTGTGGATCAGAATGAATAGGTTATCAACAAATCTTTGAAAATTGCGATAATATTTAAAAATTTTGAAATATTGGAAAGATGATTCTTCCTTAATAAAGTTAAATAAACTATGGCGTTATTACAAATAATTATTAAATAAAAACGTAGGCGCAACACGGATAAAATAATACTAAATTACGTATTAGTATAATAAAATTAAGAATTTTGGAATTAGTTAATTTCAGCCAAAAGAGCGTCCAATCTAATTCCGGTAACATTATCATAATATTAAGAAAATTATATTAACAGGGATATTGTCAAAAAAAAAATATATCATACTAATATTAAAAAATATTATTTAATTATCATTAATAATAAAACATATATTATTAACATATATAAATAAAGCCAAGAAATAACTTAGACATAATTGGTTTGCATTGAATTATTTGTGTTATGTAAAGATTTAAAATTATAATTTGATTGAAGAAACATAAAATAATTGCTTCTTAAGATGCTTTAAACATAAGGTAGAAAATAATCCTTCACAATTACATTGTGTGGTGCTATACAAAGCACTTTTAGAGCCAACTTTCTACACTATGTAGAATCATGTACATACAAATTCAAATTCATATGGCTTTGTATAAGCTTATATGCTGCTACTAGCTGATATATTTGTCTAAAAATATCAAGTTTAAAGCCTTTTCCTGCGAAACAATGGTATTGATTATGCTTAAGGTTGTGGGCAAAACTCCTCCAGAAATCAATTAACAAGGTTTCAACAGGTTACACATTAATTGTTTATTAGAGTTTTGGCAAAGTTTTGCATTTGGGGTTTTGTCAATCATCAGAGTTTTGACAAGGTATATATTAATTGTTCATTAGAGTTTTGACAGATTTTTGAAGCAACCTTAATTATGCCTCTATTAAAAAAAAAAAATGAATAAATAAAAATGCCTTGCCTCTATAAAATGGGCAAAAAAAAGCCAAGCAAATAAATTTTAATATTCACCTTTTGTTGAACTTTTCAATACAAAAAAAATGAAAGGAATGAAATGATGTGTTCTTAAACCCCAAGGTAATTGTTGTTTCTTTAACTGGTTGAAAATTTTAAAATGTGCATAATTTTTTTTTTCAAAATTTTTTAAATAATAATCAAGTATATACTAATATTAGAAATATTTTACAAATTTCAACTAATAATATTAATCCATGATTAGCTAACATAAATTGGCTTCATATTAATTATAATAAAAATTTATACAAAATGTGACTCCCAATTACAGTCAAACCTTGATAAACCAAACTACTATAAACCAATTTTCACTTTATAATGATGCAAAATATACATGAAGTTGAAATGGTTGAAAATAATTTTGACTTTTTGATAAATAGTCAAAAATAAGTTGATTGGTATAGTTTTTTAATGTTCTTGTTTATAAAAAATGCTGAGAAGCCCAAATTGCCCTAACTAGTTTGGGCTTTGAGAAAACAGTTTGGACTGGAAACCTTAGTTATTATATATATATATAGTTGGGCTCTATAATAAGATAAAATTAAAATCAACTGATTTTAACCTGTCAGAAAAGTGACAGGGTTACAACTAGTTATTAAATTATAATATTAAAAAAATTATATCTAACAGTGATATTGTCAAAATAAAAATATCATACTAATATTAAAAAATATTATTTAATAATAAATATATAATAATTATTATTATTAACATATATAAAAATATTACTATGTATTACATTTCATTACATAAAGCCAAGAAATGACTGATGTGAGTAATGAAATAATAATTGAAAATTACCTTGATCTCACAGATTATACATGAAGTTGAAATTGGAACCCAAAAATTGAAATATTTCGACCTGAGAGATCAAAGTTGAATCAAAAGTCAAAATGATCAAAATTACATCATACAACAAGCTTAACATACAGAAAATTAATCAAAAGCTTCAAATCCTCATAACTTGGTCAATATCTGGCTATTTTGAATAAAACAACTATCATTCGAATTCTCTCAATGAGATGAGTCTAATGAAATGTAATTTGAATCACTGATCATTGAGATATTTTGGTTTACCATAATATCATAATAACTCACCATTTATTGATGCCATGGACATTAAATCACCATTATTCGAGTTGAGTCATGTTTCATTAAATTTGGATCACTGTTTCTCAAGATAAATCATTTTGAAATTATTAATTTAATAAATCATGTGATATGATCATTCGACCCCCGAAATTAAATCGTTTCGACTACTGGACAAAAGCATTTGATCACGTGTTTACACTACAGTCAAACCTCGTTATAACGGATTTTTGTTATACCGAACAAAATCTTATCCCTATTTTTTTTATTAAATAAAAAATTTACTAGCCGCGTAACAAGATTAGGGATGGGGCGGTTCGGTTCTTGGAACCGGTTCCAAAATAGATGTAACACAAAATATTATTGTCAAAACTAATTTTCTTTGAAAATTTTCA